CCACACAGAATTAGATTAAATGATATAAGTGAATTCTTTTATTTTCATAATTAAATGAAGGGTTAAATTATTTTTACTATATTAAATTAACGAAACAAAACCAAAAATTAAACAAAATAATAAATAAAGAAATAAGACCCAACCTAAATACCATCTTCTTCTTGAAAAAATTGAACGCATAATAACCGAGAAAGTGAAAAAGTTGTAGGCCATTCTGACCCAACAAAAATAGTGTTATCAATTAATGAAGGATGAGTATAACCATTATTAAACAATGTCCTTATAAAACATTCATTATTATTAGAAATCCAAAATCCATTAAATACACTAAAGATATCATTATTTTGATCATCTCCATAAATATATAATGTTTTCTTCCATCCTTTTTGAAGAGCAAATCTTCTAGGTGAAGTATTAAAAGGATTTTTTAATGTAAATAGGAAATGAGAATCATCATCTTCAACCCATACTTCTTGTGAAGGAGGTAATTTAGAATGAAATGTCCCAAAAATGTAATTGTGTTCTGTTATAATAAAGATTATAATATTTTGTCTTCCTTTCAAATGACTCCAAAATGATCTTGAAGTAAATTCGTGTTGCTCAGAATCATAAACGACTTCATATTTCTTTGAACCGATCCATCGACTCATGATAAATTGGAGTAGATTTGAGACATTTGCCATAAAATAAGAGTAATAAATAAAGTTCTTTCAAAGATGTATAACTTTATCTAAATTATGAAATACAAAATAAAAGAAGATTTTTGATATTAAAAACAAAAATAAAACGATTATAATTTTATTTCAATAAAATCAGGGAATGAAGATGAACGAATAATTGTTTTTGGAATATTTGATGACATTTTAAAACATGCACAAAATATTCTACAATGAGACAATTTAGATTTTAATAATGGATATAATTTATCCATCACACTTGGTAATAAATACATAACTACTACTGTTATCTTATTCCATGGTATTTGATTAGTTTTAAAGAAGTCATCACATATAAATGTTATTGGTTTAGTTAATTTACTTTCTTTATAATGACTCTTAGCTTGAGAAATAGCTTCTGGTTCAATATCAATTCCATAAGCTTCATTACATTGAGTTTGAAGTAATGACTCAATTATTATTCTACCATCTCCACAACCTAAATCTAGTAGAACATCATTTTGTTTTAACTATTAATGATAAATATTTCTAAATACTTGTTAATAATTATCAAACTTGCATAAAAGGAATTAATTGATTTAATGTTTGTATGGTGATAGGAACAAATGGAGCTTTTTCATTTTGTTCATTACTGATATTATTAATATCTTCTTCATAATAAAATGGAATCCATTGTTCTTCTTCAGGAACAACAGAATCAGCCCAATTCATTTTAAAAAATAATTTTAGTTTAACAAAATATTAAAAAAAAAAAACCCTTTTTTGTTATTCTTTTATTTAAAAAAACAACAACAAAAAACTCGAATTGACGTTAGAAATTAGAAAAAATTACTTATTAATCGCTCTTTCTTTTTATTCGAAAGTGGTATATTTTGGCTTCGACTTTCTATTCATCAATATTACAGCTACAATTCCTATTACTGATACTATTATCACTATGCTAGCAAATCCTATAGCACTCCCTACAACAACATATACCATAGAATCTGTTGTTGGCTCTTGTAATTCAGAACTTGATGTTTCATTTGTATTAGATGAAGAAGAAGATTCATTTGGAGTATAAGATGAAGCCTCTGATGAAGATGATGAGGTGTCATTAGGTGCAACATAACAGGCATCTTCAATACATGTTTGACTTGTTCTATCAAATTTATATCCATAATCACAATAAGATGGAACACAACTTAATGTGTACCATCTTCCTTCAACACATGGATGTCCTCCATGAATATGATCACCTTTAAGTTTTTCATCACATTTAGGATTTTGTAAAACCATAGGTGAATTGACATCACATTCAATAAGATATTTATTCACTAATTTAAGACCTTCACTAACAAATTTATTTACATTGTCATCATTATAATCATATAATGCTACCCGTTCATTACTTCTTCCTTTAATAAATTCTCTTGGTATACTACTCTTAAATGAATAATTTGTTGGATATAACTCAACAAATGAAACAGTCATATGAGATCCTTCTTTAGTTAAATCAGTTGATGAACCACATAAAGCATAGCCTGATGCCATAATAACAGATGTAGCTGTTCCAATATCAAATTCATTATTTTCTGGATCTCCACCATACCCAACTATAATTGCAGACCCTGACTCAGCGAGATTTTTTATAAAGAATGAACAAGTTCCTCTACAATAACCATCAGTAAAAATAACAATCTGATGTGGACTTCTTGGATGATTTTTTAATTCAGTAAAAAAGAGTACATCATTAGACTTCATAATAGATACTTGAGATCTACTATGAGTAATATTATTTTCAAATTCATCAACAACTGGTTTAGAATAAAATGGTCCAAGAGGTTTTTTTAAGTTAATAATAATATTATTTCCACTGACAGATCTTCGTACTTGACAATTCTTTGGATCATACATATGTTGTGCAATATCTAATTTTAATATTTTCTCACTATTACCATCTACTCTTACACTACCATATATATAATTATCAGCATGTGGTGAAAGTAATTTAAAAATACTTCCTTCAATATCCGCATCTCCTCCTTCATTCATTGGAAGAATAACTTCAATTGGATAATCATTCTCATCAATCATTTCAAAGCATTTATTTAATGTTTGAATATAGGTTGATGTTTTATTACTTACATCATAATAAAAACTATGAATAACTATTACATTAATACTTTTTTCTCCTTCAATAAATGTTCCACACTTTATATTATTATCATCACTTGTATATTTAAATTGACTATTACCACTATGTTTTATTGAATTTTTTAATGCACCTTTAACTTCTTTATAAAGAAGTTTATAAGGTATTGTTACAGTTACTCCATTAATATATTCTATAACTATATCTTCTAATTCATCTGATGTTAAAGGAATTTCTCCTAAATCTATTTGGAAGTGATAATGAAGCATATAATTAAAGGCGGTATTAGCATTTTTTAAACTAATTAATTTATTACTAAGTGTACGAAGATATTCCAATGGATTTTGTTTATTAATTAATTTTACTTCTTGACTATTATTATCAATAAGTTCTTGTGGAACAACATAACCATTTTGTTCAACGATTTGAGTTTTGACTGTAGATTGGTCAATAATGAATTTGAAAGGAAGAATCGCTTTAAAACTATCAAAATAAAAATTCTTCCTCTTTGAAGAACTAAACTTAAATTTTAAATTTGGGTCTTTTGCAAGTCTCATTATATCATCAACTTTTCTATAAAATTGATATATTGGTTGAGTACTTGTATCTAAAGACTTTAATTCTTCTTCAAGATGTGCTTCAACAGAGTAATACTGATCTTCTTTTAGTGGTGATTGAAGAATGTCTAAATAAGCATACATCCCAATTAAGTCTTCAATATCTCCTTGAATACTTACTGCGTCTGAAATGTCTAAATTTGTTTCATAAATACACTCAAATGCTTCTTCTTTTGTATAAAGAGTTCCATCAACCATAGAAGCACAATCTAAAGCTGTACTAATACAAATAAGTGTAAACAACAGCATCAATGCCTATTTCAGTTTTATTCAGTTCATTTTTAATGACTATCTACCTACTTATCTTTTTATTTTTAATAGTTTTTTTTTCTATTTTTTTTAATTTATTTTTAATAAAATATATAACACTATTTTTCTTAAAATATTTTTTATCATTTGGTTTATTATATAAATAAATTTTGATTTATTCATCAAAATAATTAATTTTCATACAAAGAATAAAAGAATAGATAAATGCTTTTAAATGAGAGACAATCTCTTTATCGTTGTATTTAGTTTAACAGCATTTTAATTATTTAACAGATGAAATATTTTTTCGTTACAATCCCATGCACGTTTAACAAA